AACCAAACATTCAAACTAAAAAAAAAAAACAATGGGGGGTACATATCTAAACAGAGAGTTCTCAACAGAGGAATCTCAAATGGTTTGAGATTCTCAAAAGCACTTAAAGGATTGTTAAACATGCTTACCCATCAGAGAATTGAAAATCAAAACTACTTTAAAATTCAATCTTATATCTGTCAGAATGGCTAAGATCAATAACACAACTGAGAGCTAATGCTGTTGAGAATGTAGAGTAAGGGGAACACCCCTCCATTGTTGGTGGGAATGCTACTATGGAAATAAATATGGTGATTCCTCAGAAAATTGGGGTTTGATCAACTCAAGATCCAGCTATACTACTATTGGGCATGTACCTAAAAGATGCCCCATCCTACCACAAGGCCACTTGCTCAACTATATTAGTAGTATTTTTATTCATAATGGCAAGAAATTGGAGCCTGTAGGAATCTATATGCCCTCAACCAAATAATAGATACTGAAAATGTAGTATATTTACATAATAAAGCATTACTCAGGTGTTAGAAAAAAATACATCATAAAATTTGCAAGAAATGAATGGAACTAGAAAAAAATTACCCTGAGATAGGCAACTCAGACCAAGAAAGACAAACATATGCATATGTATACACTTATAAGTGTATATTAGCTGTTAAGTAAAGGAAAATCACGTTAATCTACAGATACAGAGAAGTTAGATAAAGAGAAGAGGTCTGGGGAGTATGTGCAGATCTCCCTGGGAAGGAGAGAGAACATATTTTGTGGGTGGAATGGAGGCGGGTGGGAATGGGAACAGGAAGAATCAGGTCAGGGAGGGAGGTATTGAGGGAAAGAGTACTTGGAGGGACTACTGGAATAGCGAACATTTAGAGGGTGATGTGGAAACCTAGTGCAGTGGAAAGTTCTTGGAACATATGAGGGTGACCCTACTTAGGACTCCTAGCAATGGGGAATATTTAACCTGAACTCTCAGTGGTGGAACTGGGGCATCAACTCAGCCACAAAACCCAAGACCGCCAACCTGTCCTGCCTACAAGAAGCACTGGAAGAATGGTCACTCAGCTCTTGTGGGAGTGGCCAACAATGACAAGTCTAACTTGAGACTCAAGCCAGGGGAAAGAGTCCATGCCAACATTATGTAAGTAGCCAGGAACTGGAAGTTGGATGACTCAAGAGACCTAAGGTAGAATCAAACACGATTGACTAGATAGATAGATAGATAGATAGATAGATAGATAGATAGATAGATACATAGATAGATAGATAGAAAGATAGATAAAATCAATGAAATAATTCTTAATGATATTTTGCTATGCTCATAGGTTGGTGCCTAGCGCAGACGTCATCAGAGAGGCTTCCTCAAGTAACTGATAAAAGCAGATGCAGAGACCAACAACCAAAGATTAGGCAGAGCTCAGGGAACCCTGCAGAAAAGAGGGAAGGATTGTAGGAGCGAGGAGGGTCAAGGACAGCAAGAGAACACCATGCACAGAATCAGCTAAGCAGGGCTTATAGGGGCTCACAGAGACTGAAGCGACCATTATGGAGCTTATATGGGTCTGAGCTATGCCTTCTGCATATGTGCTGTGGTTATTCATCTTGCGATTTTTGTTGGATGCCTAACACTGGGAGTGTGGGTATTTTGGACTCTTTTGCCTGCTTGTTGGACCCTTTTCCTCCTCTGGGTTGCCTCCTTCAGCCTTGATATGAGAGTTTGTGCTATGATCTGTTCAGTTGATATCCCTGGTAGGCCTGCTCTTTTATGAAGAGAAAAGGAGGGGCAGTGTGGATCTGGGAGAGCCTGGAGGTGAGACAAGGATCTGGGAGGAATGGAGAGAGGGGAAACTATGGTTGGGTTATATTGTATGAGAGAGGAAAAAAGAAAAAGAAATCAACAACCATAAAAACAACAAAATGTAGCAATAAAGTGATTCTTCATGACATTCTGCTGTATTCATAATAGTTTGTTGCTCAGCCATCACTAGAGAATCATCCTCCTGCAGTAAGATGAAACAAACAAACAAACAAAAAAAAAAAAAACTACAGAAATCCACAGCCTGGCATTATGCAGAGAACACAGTCCCAACTAGAATGACTCTATTAACTTCCTCCCCTTAGGGGTCAAGGAAACCCAGAGAACAGGAGGCAGAAAGAATTTAAAGGCAGAGAATTTAAAGATAGAGGATAACCAGAAACCCAGGGCCTCTAAGTCAGCAAGACTGAACAAATATGAACTCACAAAGACTAGAGGCAGCATGCCCAAGGCCTGAATAGGTCTGGACAAGGTCATCTGTGTACACATTATACTTTCCAAACATTTTATGGGATTCCTGAGTGTGGGAATGAGTGGGTCCTTGTTCCTTGTGCCTTCTCTTGTACTCTTTGCCTTCTGTTCTTTATTCATTTGTATTTTGTTTTTGTTTTTCGTCCAATGTGGTAGTCTTCATTTTATCTTATTTTATTATTATTTCTTAGAAACTTTGTTGTTTTCTAAGGAGAAACAGAGAGTGGGTCCACATGGGAGGGGAGGAGGGAAGGAGCTGGAAGGAATGAGGGAGGGGAAACCATAATCATGATATATTATGTGAGGAAAAAAATCTATTTTCAATAAAAGGAAAGAAATGATCAAGGTGAAAATAAATAAATATTAATGATTGATGGAGGTGGGTCTTGTATCTTATCTGTTGCTTTCATTGGTTAACTAATAAAGAAAACTGCTTGGCCCTGATAGGACAGAAAATTAGGTAGGTGGAGTAGACTGAACAGAATTCTGGGAGAAAGAAGCCGAGTCAGGGAGTCGCCATGATTCTCCCACTCCAGACAGCCGCAGGTTAAGATCTTCCCTGGTAAGCCACCTCGTGGGCGACACAGATTATTAAAAGTGGGATAGATCAATATGTAAGAGCTAGCCAAGAAGAGGCTGGAACTAATGGGCCAGACAGTGTTCAAAAGAATACAGTTTCCGTGTAATTATTTCGGGGCATAAGCTAGCCTTGCGGGCGGCTGGGTGCTGGGGATACAGGCCCCCCGCTCCTAATACTACAACTTGTAATGCGGTGTTTAGTTGATATCCGGATGCCTGCTCTTTTCTGAAGGGAAGGCAAGGAAGAGAGGATCTGGGAGAGAAATGAGGTTTTAGGTAACTGGAGGGAGGGAGAACTTTGGTCAGGATGTAATGTGTGAAAATAATAATAATAATAATAAAGATTTTGTTGTTTCTGTTTATTGGTTGAGCATGGGAGAGCTACAAGTTTGTGAGAGCTCCTAAGTCTAGTTGTGGACTTACACAGACCTAAGTTACAACTTCAAAACTTAGCTGTTCTAGTCAAATAAATCCAAGCAATTCTTTCTTAACATGGCACTTTAAAAATACAATCTTTTATTTCAAGGACAAACTGCTACTATAAATAAAGAGTTGATGAATTTCGAGTAAACTGTCAAAAATAATAATCATGTGCAGAATACAAACATAGTCTTTGGAGTTCATTTGCATTATTTCCTGATCATCCCATTCTTAAAATGAAGGGATATATGGAAAATGCAACCTAAATCTCCATAGAAACCAATCAACTCAGAAAACACTACTCATCCAAGTATAGGCAACTATCCATAATCTACATAAATTTGGGGTATTAGTTCCCTAAGAATTCTGCAATAAAAAGAAAAGAACGTTAGCATTTTGATAATGATGGGAGTATTTTCTTCCTCCAAACAAGAAATCTCTTTGGTAATTCAGACTACATGTGACAAACTTTCATAATGGACTGCAGTAAAAATCACAGCGCTGCTGCTTCCCTTCTATGGCTCTCGGCCAGGCCAGGGGGATCCATCCTTGGAACACTTGAGTCTGTCTCTCTTATTAGCACCAAGAAGCAGTTAACTGTGATCAAGACTATTAGGACCTAATATCTCAGAATTTTCCAAGAGAGCGAGAGGGGAAATATTTGATGCATGAAAACTCGAGGCCAACACAGACTAATTAGTCTTATTAAGTCAAATAACCAAGGAAATAGAAAACATATAAACAATGCATTTTCCCGAAATGCATTTTGAAACTAAAAGTACTATATCATCAAGAATGTCATAAGGTGAGGCATGAATACAGAGGGAATTAGCTTTAGAAATACGAGTTCCCTACATCATGGGAACAAGCAGCCTGCTCAAACTCAGGAAATGGAAATACAATTGTTGCTGCAGATCAATGGTTCATGGCAGGGGTAAGGCTGACTGAGGAAAAGTAAAAGAAAAAAGGGGGGAGGGAGAAGAAGAAAGCAAAACAACCAGCTCCTATGGGCCTCAGATAGACTTGAAATAATGTTTACTTTTATTTAACAAATCAGTAATATTTTTTAAAAAATACTGAAGTCTAGAGGAAGCTGTCTACAGCTGTTTGTTTTCTCCTAATTCCCTGCCTTCCTCATACCCCTCCCTCCTTTTGGCCCTCCTTTTTTTCCACTCTTTCTTTGCTTCACTCCTTTTATTTCTGTGTTTAAATCCTTAATCTACAATGAACAGATTTCCACTTAAGAACCGTATACTCCAAACCTTACAAAACACCGTGACCTGCACCTGAAAATGCAGACACCATTTTAAGAAGGAAGAAGTGTTTTTTGCATGCACACTGCCCCCTGAAATATTTTCCTGTTTAGCCATGGAATCCTTTTCTTGTCGAGACAGTACAGCAGTGTTTGGGAAGCATCAGCAGGCCAACAGATGCTTGGAATCAAATGACTTAATAGGCATACACATTTTCCCCCAAATAATTGCAAAGCTTTGCTTTAGCCCTTTTCATACCTTGCATAGTTAATTAGCTAGGACTTAATGTTTACATGCAACGAGAGTATCTACGGCTATAAACTACATAATTTATAATTGATGTAAATGGGTGTTATTATGTCAATTAGGCAGCTGTGTCCTCCACCTCTTGGTAAACAGCTATGAGTGATAAACTGAGTTTGCAGAGAGCTACCTTCTCTTCATAACAGATAAAAATAAATTACCCAGGCAGACCAAGCTGTCCAATTGTTCTCTGGTGAAGTGGATGGAAAGTCCAGGCCCTTTCTTTTGACCTGTTGACTGCAGGAAGCTGTCAATTTCGTCACGCAGCGCTTCCACAGCTTCTGGGTGCCGAAGAAGATAATACACTGCCCAGTACACAGCTGGAATGGTGTTTGCCATAGAGGCCCAGAGAAAGCCAAGATGATGGGCTGGGAGAAAAGAAGTGAAAAGGAAGATTAATAGCGTTTATTACACTGATTAGATTTGCAGTGTGCTAATTAAAAGATGTTAGGACACAGACCCAGCCAAGGATCAGTGCATGCTAATGAGAACCAATAGGCTTCTGAAGTCTCATTTTCTGCTTAATGAGAAGAGTTTAAAATGTAATGTGTGTTGGGGGGGCAGGAAGGTGGGGATGAGATAAGGGGAGTAAACGCCGCTTAGTTATACTCTTTCTCATTATCGTCATTAAGTATCTTGTTTTACCACCTCAGCAAAAAAAAAAAAAAAAATCAATTATCACAGAGGGTTGTTTCAGAGTAAAACATTTTATCACTAGCCAATTAGAAAGAGCATAAAAATTTTCAAGGTCGCCATTTTTCCTTTTATCTCAAAGGTCTCCTGTAAATTATTTTATTTTAGTGAGTAATCGTTTAGAACCTTCTTACCTCCTATTTCTAAGTCTTCACGCCCATAGTGTTTTTCCAGAAGCTCTTTCCTTTCCTGAACAATTTCTGAGCATCCATGCATCTGATCTAGTTTTTCTGACATGAGGCATCTTATAAGTTTCTCCTGCATAGATTTCACATGTCTTAGAAGCTGAATGGGTATATCGGATATTAAGTATGGAAAGATGTCATCGAATTTCAGAAAGTCATCTCTTAACTCACTGATAATTTTCTTCCTGTTACCAGCAAGAAGTTTTCCATATATAGTCGTAAATGTGGTCTCAAATACCAGTGAGCTAATGAATGGAAACAGTCTTGATGTATTCCACTCTGTGGTTTTTAGTAGTTGTGGCTCAACAATTTCTTTTAGTTGTTGGATTAGGCTTTCTAGGAGACTGTCCAAAGCTTTGCCTTGTAGAAACAGGTAGGTTCTGTGAATGTCTTCATTAAGGTCATCATCAATTTCCAGCTTCTTGATGGAGAAGGCTTTCGATGATAACTGTCTGCTGAACTCCTGAAAGCTGAATTGTTTGGGGTTTTTCCTTATGAGATGGTATTGGAAGGGGTTCAGAACAAACGTTATATACTTCCCTAAAAAAAAAAAAAGAATATAGTTTATTTGATAGCAAGGCAAAACACATATCTTCAGTCTGAAAACATTTAAATCAAAATTAGAGACTTTATTAAGAAGTTAACAGTTTTATCGCACAAATTTAGCAGGAATCCATTCCACTCAAATGCCCACTCTGTCTGCTTTGAAAGTGAAGGATGCTGTGAAGAAAAGCTCTCAAAGTTTGAAGGTAAATGAAGTTCTAAACTTCACCACACACTATGGCCCATGGCCCGTCTCTCAAAATGGGCACAAACTTGGGAGAGTTCCTGGCCGAACCCCTGCATTGAGCAGAGAGCCGGGACAGCTGAGGCAGCGCAGCTTGCTTGCCCTCACTCAGCTCTGGCTTCTCACTGCGGTACTGCTTCATGGTTTCTTCTAGTTAGAGCAAGTGCACGCAATAGCATCAGTGAGTACGCCTTTTCTTTTCTTTTTTTACTCTTTTATTTTTTTTAATTTTTTTCAGTTTTTTTTCCGTTTATTTATTTATTAAAGATTTCTGTCTCTTCCCCGCCACCTTCTCCCATCCCCCCTCCCCCAATCAAGTTCCCCTCCCTTGTCAGCCCATAGAGCTATCAGGGTTCCCTGCCCAGTGGGAAGTCCAAGGACCACCCACCTCCAAAAGCACAAGTTCCTTTAGGGTAACCCCTCAGTGGTCATGTTCAGATATTAGTGTGTGTACTCCATTCGCTCTGTGTCTGTCTGTCTGTCTGTCTGTCTGCATCCCCACACGGTGTGTGTGTGTTTGTTGTTTTTGAGTTGAAAAACTTCCTCTCGTAATTTATGGTAATTCCAAATGTATTGCAAAACTTGACCAATTTGGTACAAATTATTTTAGATAAAGATTTGGAAACATTGTAAATGAAATCCTAGAGATGGTATAATGTTTTTATTAGGCAATTTAAAAAATATAACAAGTGTTAAATGCAGTTTAACACGATGCAATTCATTTTCCTTACAGTGATTTTTATCCACTTCATTTTCCCCTGATTCATTTAACAGACAGGACAAGACAGAAGCTAGGTAGTCCAGACCTAAGCTGTTCATCCTGGTCAGATACTAGCACTGCCTTCAACAAAGTAACTCAAGTTTTGAGTTTTGTTTTCATTAGTTCTTTGTTTTGCCTCAAAAACAGCAGAACAGACCCCATTAAATTTGGGCACTTTCAATAACTTGCTTTACCATGATAACTAAAATTGCCAGCATCTGTCTGGCAAAAAAAAAAAAAAATGAGAATGCGGGAGTCAGTTTTCTCATTTTTCAAAAGAGACAATTTTAGGCAATGCTGTGTATTTTCACAGGCGATGATTCATGCATTCTTTGTCTCAAATGAATGGGTTTTCTTAAACATTAATAGGATTTTTTAAAAGCAGTATCTGAAATCCAGAGCGTGTATGCACTAAGTTTAGTTTGCAAATCACAATCTTTGGAAAATATTTTGAACTTTTTTTAAAACCAAATTTCTACTTTCATTTAAATCCAAAAAGAATTTTTAAACAATGTCTCAGCCCAGACACTATCAGTCACTACAACTTGGCTTTTGAAGTAGGGACAAGATAAATACCAAATTTCTGCTCTGTTCACAAGTCATGAGAAACAGACACGTTCTTATTGCTTCTATTTCTACCTTTCTTATCACTTTCCCTCCTCACTCTAGCTCCCCTTTTATTTTCCCCCTCTTTACCTTGCCTTTAACAGAAGAAAAAGGCGGGCTCATTTCAAATAAAAGTATAAATGGGGAATGTGAAATAACTGGTTCTAGTCAGCAAACACCTTTAATATATTATAAAAATTGATTGACTCTGGGTGTGTGTGCATGTACCGCAGTGTGTGCTGTATGGTGTACAGGTGCACATTGCTGTGTGTGTGCACGTGCCAGTGTGTGCTGTACTGTGTACAGGTGCACATGTGCTGTGTGTCTGCACGTGCCAGTGTGTGCTGTACGGTGTACAGGTGCCCATGTGCTGTGTGTGTTCACGTGCCAATGTGTGCTGTACGGTGTACGGGTGCCCATGTGCTGTGTGTGTGTGCACGTGCCAGTGTGTGCTGTACGGTGTACAGGTGCACATGTGCTGTGTGTGTGCACGTGCCAGTGTGTGCTGTACGGGGTACAGGTGCACATGTGCTGTGTGTGTACACGTGCCAGTGTGTGCTGTACGGTGTACAGGTGCACATTGCTGTGTGTGTGTGCCCGTGCCAGTGTGTGCTGTACTGTGTACAGGTGCACATGTGCTGTGTGTGTACACGTGCCAGTGTGTGCTGTACGGTGTACAGGTACACATGTGCTGTATGTGCACGTGCCAGTGTGTGCTGTACGGTGTACAGGTGCACATGTGCTGTGTGTGTGCAAATGCCAGTGTGTGCTGTACGGTGTACAGGTGCACATGTGCTGTGTGTGTGCACGTGCTGCAGTGTGTGCTGTACGCTGTACAGGTGCACATGTGCTGTGTGTGCACGTGCCAGTGTGTGCTGTACTGTGTACAGGTGCACATGTGCTGTGTGTGTACACGTGCCAGTGTGTGCTGTACGGTGTACAGGTGCACATTGCTGTGTGTCTGCACGTGCCACAGTGTGCTGTATGGTGTACAGGTGCACATGTGCTGTGTGTGTGCGCAGGTGCCATTGTGTGCTGTACTGTGTACAGGTGCACATGTGCTGTGTGTGTGCGCACGTTCCAGTGTGTGCTGTACGGTGTACTGGTGCCCATGTGCTGTGTGTGTGCACGTGCCAGTGTGTGCTGTACGTTGTACAGGTGCACATTGCTGTGTGTCTGCACGTGCCGCAGTGTGCTGTATGGTGTACAGGTGCCCATGTGCTGTGTGTGTGCACGTGCCAGTGTGTGCTGTATGGTGTACAGGTGCCCATGTGCTGTGTGTGTGCACGTGCCAGTGTGTGCTGTACGGTGTACAGGTGGACATTGCTGCATGTGTGCACGTGCCAGTGTGTGCTGTACGGTGTACAGGTGCACATTGCTGCGTGTGTGCACATGCCAGTGTGTGCTGTACTGTGTACAGGTGCACATGTGCTGTGTGTGTGCGCACGTGCCAGTGTGTGCTGTACTGTGTACAGGTACACATGTGCTGTGTGTGCACGTACCAGTGTGTGCTGTACTGTGTACAGGTGCCCATGTGCTGTGTGTGAATGTGCCAGTGTGTGCTGTACGGTGTACAGGTGCACATGTGCTATGTGTGTGCACGTGCCAGTGTGTGCTGTACTGTGTACAGGTGCACAGTTCTGTGTGTGTGCACGTGCCAGTGTGTGCTGTACGGTGTATAGGTGCACATGTGCTGTGTGTGTGCACGTGCCAGTGTGTGCTGTACGGTGTACAGGTGCACATGTGCTGTGTGTGTGCGCACGTGTCAGTGTGTACTGTACTGTGTACAGGTGCACATGTGCTGTGTGTTTGCACGTGCCAGTGTGTGCTGTACGGTGTACAGGTGCACATGTGCTGTGTGTGTGCACGTGCCAGTGTGTGCTGTACGGTGTACAGGTGCACATTGCTGTGTGTGTGCACGTGCCGCAGTGTGCTGTATGGTGTACAGGTGCCCATGTGCTGTGTGTGTGCACGTGCCAGTGTGTGCTGTATGGTGTACAGGTGCCCATGTGCTGTGTGTGTGCACGTGCCAGTGTGTGCTGTACGGTGTACTGGTGCACATTGCTGTGTGTGTGCACGTGCCAGTGTGTGCTGTACGGTGTACAGGTGCACATGTACTGTGTGTGTGCACGTGCCAGTGTGTGCTGTACGGTGTACAGGTGCACATTGCTGTGTGTCTGCACGTGCCGCAGTGTGCTGTATGGTGTACAGGTGCACATGTGCTGTGTGTGTGCGCACGTGCCAGTGTGTGCTGTACGGTGTACAGGTGCACATGTGCTGTGTGTGTGCACGTGCCAGTGTGTGCTGTACGGTGTACAGGTGCACATTGCTGTGTGTGTGCATGTGCCAGTGTGTGCTGTACTGTGTACAGGTGCACATTGCTGTGTGTGTGCACGTGCCAGTGTGTGCTGTACGGTGCACAGGTGCACATGTGCTCTGTGTGCACGTGCCAGTGTGTGCTGTACTGTGTACAGGTGCACATTGCTGTGTGTCTGCACGTGCCGCAGTGTGCTGTATGGTGTACAGGTGCCCATGTGCTGTGTGTGTGCATGTGCCAGTGTGTGCTGTACGGTGTACAGGTGCACATGTGCTGTGTGTGTGCGCACGTGCCAGTGTGTGCGCACGTGCCAGTGTGTGCTGTATGGTGTACAGGTGCACATGTGCTGTGTGTGTGCACGTGCCAGTGTGTGCTGTACGGTGTACAGGTGCACATTGCTGTGTGTGTGCATGTGCCAGTGTGTGCTGTACTGTGTACAGGTGCACATGTGCTGTGTGTGCACGTGCCAGTGTGTGCTGTACGGTGTACAGGTGCCCATGTGCTGTGTATGTACACGTGCCAGTTTGTGCTGTACAGTGTACAGGTGCACATGTGCTGTGTGTGTGCACGTGCTGCAGTGTGTGCTGTACGCTGTACAGGTGCACATTGCTGTGTGTGTGCACGTGCCAGTGTGTCCTGTACGGTGCACAGGTGCACATGTGCTCTGTGTGCACGTGCCAGTGTGTGCTGTACGGTGTACAGGTGCACATGTGCTCTGTTTGTGTGCACGTGCCAGTGTGTCCTGTACGGTGCACAGGTGCACATGTGCTCTGTGTGCACGTGCCAGTGTGTGCTGTACGGTGTACAGGTGCACATGTGCTCTGTTTGTGTGCACGTGCCAGTGTGTGCTGTACAGTGTACAGGTGCACATGTGCTGTGTGTGTGCACGTGCCAGTGTGTGCTGTACTGTGTATAGGTGCACATTGCTGTGTGTGTGCACGTGCCAGTGTGTGCTGTACTGTGTACAGGTGCACATGTGCTCTGTGTGTACGTGCCAGTGTGTGCTGTACGGTGTACAGGTGCACATTGCTGTGTGTGTGCACGTGCCAGTGTGTGCTGTACTGTGTACA